AGGTGCTGCCACAGCCCTGGCCACACTGAGAGGCTGGCACTCTGCTCTCCTTGAGCCTTCAGTCCCTGGAATCAGACAGACCCGGGGTTCAGACTCTTCTGCTTCCCGGCTGAGGGACCTCGGGGAAGCTACAGAGCGCTGCCTGGCTTGGTTTCCTCACCAGACAATGGAGGCACGTTCAGTTCAGGCACCTCTCAGGGTTATGGGGAGGATTCAGAGAAAGGAGGCCGAGGGCAGAGCCCATGTCGGGCAGTCTTGTGAGATTCTGGGGCCGTACGAGGTCTCTAAATATATTCAGGCAAAGGCTGACTGGCCACCATTCCAGAGGAGATGCAGGAGAATGTAAATCAAAAGGCTCAGGTCCTGCCTCCGGCCACAGATGTGTAATGTTGTGCAAGTCAGTCTTCCTGACCAGCCTTCACTCTCCAGCTCTCAGGATTTTGTCATTGTTGGCTTTGAACTTTTGCTAAGAATGGAACCCACCCTTTCATCAAATGGGATCTTCTGCTCTCCCTCCCAGTATGTAAGCCTAAGGCATTACTGAGGGACACCCTTCCACTGCAGGGCACAGAGGCAGGCTCCTGGGAGGGGTTTGCAAGGCACTGGGCCAGCCAATGTCCCAGCCCTACCTTCGTTTTCAGTTCTATAGTCTTAATCCCCTCATTCATACATGAGGCATGGGAGACTTAAAAAAGGATTATCCAAGATCTCACAGCTGCTTCTTGGCAATTATACGTATTTGGAAAACACAACTCCTAGTCCCCTTCCACCCCACTAGGCTGCTCCCTACTTCCTTCCATGATTTGTCTTAGCATTTGTTCCCCCAAAGGCCCCAGTGCCGACCTCTATACATTCTTACCCCCTACCCTGCCCCAGAAAGGCACCAGGAACATGACAGACGCAGTCTGAAGCATCGCTGTAGCTTGAGACAACTTTCTTTTTCTTTTTTTAAAATATATTTTATTGATTTTGTACAGAGAGAAAGGGAGAGAGATACAGAGTTAGAAACATCGATGAGAGTCATCGATCAGCTGCCTCTTGCACACCCCCTACTGGAGATGTGCCCGCAACCAAGATATTGTACATGCCCTTGACCGGAATCAAACCCGGGACCCTTCAGTCCCCAAGCCGACGCTCTATCCATTGAGCCAAACCGGTCCCGGCGAGACAACTTTCTATGTGTACTCCTTTACTCAGTGAAATGCTGTGTGTATGGGCTGAGAGGTGAAAAACAGGTCTGGCCCAGACTTAGGGTTGTCTACAAACTCCGTTCTCTCCTTTTCCCTGACTACTAGACTCCTCCTTGAACTGGGATTCAGAATACATATGTCCCAGTCTTTTTAGCAGTTCCATATGGTGCCACAAGTAAACTCTGGCCAATAGGATGTAATTGGACATAATGTGCATACTTTGTGGAAAATGTGCTTGGTGGGGGGAGAATACCCTTCGGCCAGGACGACTGTAGGCATGGTCGTTGTGCGAACAGCCACCTGGGACCATAAGGTACAAGCCATGTGTTGGGGATAGTGGAACAGGATAGTAAGAGCTTTTCTCTGATGGTCTTAGGAAGCCTCCTGACCAGCCAGACTGTTTCCTTCTGTTTTACAGGCAAGAGAAATAAGCTCCTGTTGTTGAAGCCACCATTACCATTTCTCATCAACTCTGTCATTGATGGTAAGATAGCATTCTTTTATACATCACTAAGAAAAAGAAACCACTGCCAAGTAAATGGATATTCTATCCAACTGTGAGATACATTCCAACTTCAAAGTTCACATGTGACACAGGATGTCTTATTAAACGAGACGCAGTATTTTGGGTTTTTGTTACAGCTAAGCCTAATCCTGATTCAAGAAACGCAAGGGAACAGAAATGACAACTCCTAAAGGACAGGATAATCATGTAGAGGGAAAAACAAGTTTCTGTGTAAAAGAATGACTCATAAAAATAGTAGTGACTGGCCTGTGCTGCTCCATGGTTTGAGTGTCAACCCATGAACCAGGGCACATGCCCGGGTTGCGGGCTCGATCCCTGATAGGGGGTGTGCAGGAGGCAGCCTATCAATAATTCTCTCATCATTAATATTTCTATCCCTCTCTCTCTCTCCCTTCCTCTCTGAAATCATTAAAAACATATTAAAAAAATAACAGTGACACACAGCTCAGCCTAGGAATTTCTCCTACACTCCCAGTCTGGTTTGGACGGACTGGGGAGTTATGTGTGGGTGTTTGGATTTGGCCATCCAGTGAGACGAGGGGATGAATGAGCGGGTTTTAAGCTGGTTGCTAAACCAGTCTCCACTATGTGTGACTTGGCTGTGAGGGTTGCTGACTCTTTGGTTTCTTCTCCCCAGTTCTGCAGGGTCCTCCTGGGTGACTTCGAGAAAGACAAATAGACAGCTGATGACCAGGACAAGCTTGCATCTGACAGGCTGCCCCTGGGCTGAGATCACAGGATGCTCAAGGCTCTTCCTGCAGCAGCCATTGCTACTGCTTTTCGGGGCGACTGGAGCTCTGGTTTGATGTAAAAAAGAGCTGAGCACTTTTGGCTGATTGTCTGGCTTTAACATGACAATCCAATATTAATGTATCTGTTGTGATTAAAAACATCCAGAGCCAATATAATTAACAACAGGGAAATCTGCCTTATCTTTATGACTGAGAAACATCCGTTCTCTCGGTCATAAAGCAGGATTCCTTTTATGAGGAAGGTCCACTTCACTGTTTTAAAATAATGCAATAACTTGTTATTCTCAGTGCTTCCTTCTTATTTTAAGAACATATTTTTATTGATTTCAGAGAGAAATGGAGAGGAAGAGAGAGAGGTAGAAACATCAATGATTAGAGAGAATCACTGACTGGCTGCCTCCTTCATGCCCCCTTTTGGGGATGGAGCCTGCAGCCCGGGCATATACCCTTGACTGGAATTGAACCAGGTATCCTTCAGTCAGCAGGTTGATGCTCTATCCACTGAGCCAGACTAGCTAGGGCAGTGCTCCTTTCTTTGAGTGTCTTAAATTTACCAGGGTTCCCAAGGCCTTCACAATTTTGCTGACTCTATCATTTATTGACTATCTACTTATGTTAAAGTGTTTTACATTTATTATTAATGCATTAACCCAAGTTGGTGGTGTCATTCCATTTTAAAAGATAATATAATTAGGCTCAGAGAAGTTGATTAACTTCCTCAGGATAACACAGCTAATAAATGGGTTCTACACATAGGTTGGTGAAGGCTGCCATTACAATTTTGTTTGGTAATGTACTGTAGAAGCAACCATTTAAGCTTCCATTCCTGAAAGATGTGAAGTTCTGCTGAGAATATTTTATCCTTCCATTCAGAAGGTCACTGAGCACCTAAGACTTGTGACTATTCTGAGGGAAGACCTTCTCTAAAAGGAAAAAAAAAAAAAGTTGGGGAAGTGACTGGGAGGTAAGCATGGGTCATTCTAGGCCATATTTAAATGACACTCAGATAACTGTTGCAATGACCTGTGTAATCACCTGGCAACACAGGAATCTCTGTTTGATGGAGGGACATTCTATAGCAGATGTGAGGAGCTGGGCTTCAGGGCTGCTGACTGGCTGTTTCTAATGAAATATATCATGTGAGTTTTGGGGGAAGCGATATTTAATATTTTATAAGCACTTTATAGAAATTTTCTGCTCACCTTAATTTCATGCCTATATTTTCTTGGAAATAAAAAAATTCCCTACAAATCCCTACTTCACCTTGCTAATTCAGATGAAGACACATCATAATGAATCATCGGAATTTCTTTTATGATCTCGTGTTCTACATAAAAAACAGCTCAGATACTAAATGACTGATCCAATTCTTATGGACCAGATTCGAATTCTTCCTGGTTTCAACAAAGTGGAAGCCCTACCAAATGGTTTCCTCTGAATTGAAGTACATTAACACGGGGGAAAACTTCACATCCAAATTCATTACATTTTCCCCAGATACCAAAGGACAATGACACCAGGCTAAATTTCTTTTAAATTATTTTATTTTTGTGTAAGCTAAAAGGAAATTTACACACTGAAATCTCCGAAGACCTTGGGCATGCACATTACCCTTGTTAAAAGTTCTTCTACAGCTCTCTCTTTTTTCCATAGGAATTTCCCCAAACATTTAAAACCCATAGTTTTTACTGTATATACAGCCTAAACCATAGCAATCTATGATTATGTCATTTACACTGTGCAAAATCCTCAAAAAATAGTGGTATGATAGAACAACAACAACAAAAATCAGTAACAAGTAAATTTCATGGTAAGACATTCATATAATTTGGTCCTTCTCCAAACCAAACTGATTTAAAACAGACATACAATCATTTTAAACCCCTCCAATCAAGTTCTGACAATGATCCATACCCTTAACAAAGGAGCAATCGATGAAATACCTTGCAAAAGGTCAAACAGCAATATGCCAGATTGAAAAGATTAAAAAAAAGAGCACAAAAATTTTAACAAAAGCCAGATTTGAAACAAATCCACCACACGCATACACACACACACACACACACACACACAACAATGACTTTGGAGCTTATATATGATAGTAAAAGTAATTCAACATATGATATGAAAAATTAATAGGACATTCAATGCAATCTGGAAAGACGGAGGGGGATTTCACAGACAGTGGAGATTTGAGTTTTTAATTTTCTTTTTCTTTTTTTATTTCAAAAGTTTTGTAAGAAGGACACTACCAGTGTATTTCACAAAGACATAAATGTATACACCCCAGCAACACAAAAAGAATAAATCTTCAAAAATGTTCCCCCCTGATTATTTACATTTTTTCTAATATAAATTTAGGACTTCAGTATGTAAATAAATATACATTACTATGTATACCTTTCTAGTGTGGCTTACCAACAAATCATCTGAACTTGAATTTTTTTTTAATTACAGCAGGTATGCTTTTGATGGTAGGGGAGGGATGGAGAGAAGGAAAAGCCACGGAAACTGTCCACTTCCTCTCAGCCATCAGTCTGCTTTCTCCTGGGAGCTCGTGGAAGGTGTTAAGGTGACTGGGAACATCAACACCTTGGCATGCATGAACGTCAGGTCAGGAAGGCTCGCGATCACCTTGATGGCTTCTTCACTGAGGTGCTCTTCTCTCTTCGGTTTCCTATTGACAAAGAGAGAAGTGTGTTCATGTGGCTCTGCTGTGGACCAAATGGGGGAGCACTCACTCTCAAGGTGGTTAGGTAGCCATCTGTGCGGACCTGAGCACCTGTATCTCTGCCGGTTCCTGAGCCTCATGATACTCTTGTGCTGTGAGCTTCCTATGCCAGAAGACGCACGCCTTATTTATGTATGTTCATTAGAGCTGGGCATGTACATACGGGTATTCACATGTACCCGCGGATAGCTCACAGGTTTGCTTTTAAGGCTCGGAGCATCTACCCAAGCATCATTTCAAAACGTTACTAAGCAGAAATGTAGTTCAGAAGCCCTAATTAACACTTCGCCCAACTGGATTTCCCCTGCTCCCAGTGAAACTACCAAAACTACCTCCACATAAAACAAACATGTTTGGCACAAGACCTTGTAAGTCATGCTAACCTCAGGCACTCTTCATCCCCAAAGGGGATTTCCAGGAGAGAAAGCTCCCCCGGCCTCAGCCCCGATGGGGTGCAGACAGTGGGCCCAAAGGCAGCAGCAGGGGGCCGGCTGCTGACACTGAGGGGGTAGGCAGGCAGGAGGGGCTCGGGAACAGGGGAAATCTCAGAATCCTGTGGGTTCTCTAGATGAAATACATTTTACTACAATGGCCCCAGGTGCTAGAAATGAGCAGTCTGGTGCCGAGCACACACATGAAGAACTCCGGTGACTCATGTCTACCCAGCAGGCGAGCCACAGAAAACGCCAGCAAAGCCTCAAATGTGGCACAAAGTGAGCACATGGTTATAATCCAGCCTTTACTTTCTCAAGGGGATTGAATATATTGAAAAAAATAGTTCTAGTGATAAAAATACTAATATTAAACCAAAGTTAATTCAAAATAATTTATCTAAAAAGCCTGACCTCTTTTATGATAAAGGACAGTTGGTACTCTATGACGTGTGACACAAGTTATTCCTGCCACCTAACTATCTTCTTTGTTCTGGGGATGGGCAGCAGCAAGTCAGGAGATAATGCAAGAAAGAGTTGCAGACCTTTATTTTATTCCTAGGTTTTTCTATTGTTACCATTTTTGAATGTAAGCTGAAATTAAATCAAGCGTCAGACTGGGGCACATGGGTCAGTTTTAGGCACGCTGAAACTATCAGCACATCAACCAATACTGAACTGAGTTCTAGGGTTTCTCAGCAGAATTTTTTTTCTGATAAAAATCTACATTTAATTGTCCTTACAAATGGTGGTAAAACTATTAGGCGGATGTTTGATGGGAAACTGATATCTGCATCAGCCTAAAGTAAAACCAGATTGTTCTCTTTTTAGTCTAAAAGTGAGACAACTGGAAGTATAAAATGGAGAAGGTTAGCCTCTCACCAATCGTCAGTCTTAGCATCACCAACAATGGGGGTCACTCAGACGTTATGTGTCTTCTGATGTGACATCACACCTCTGATGCATTCTAGGCAGTGGTTTACCTGTCTGCATTCACCCCTAGATATAATTTCCAGTTTACAGTAAGGGGAATCAAGAAACATAACAGAGGCTGGGATGTTCTTTGGCATAACTAGATTGATCATTTTAACAAGCTAGTGTTATAAAAGAAAAACAAAAGGGATCAAGGTAGCTATGCTGGATTAAAAGGGCCTTAAGAGCCATAACAGTACAACAGCATTAGGTTGAATATTGGTTAGGACAAAGCAGAGAGAAAGGACACCGTCAGAGAAATCTGAATATAGCCTGGGTATTAAATGAAAATTTTTTTGAAATTGACAGATGGAGATCATGATTGCCAGAGTAGATTTAATTCAGTATGGACTATAACAATCTCATCTTTGGTTAAAATAACACACATGCATATTTACATAGAAAAAATCTGAATTTGCTCTAAGACGTTATAGTGATCTGAGTGGTAAGAATGTGACAATTTAAAATTTTTGTTGGCTTATATTTCGTAACTTTCTACAACTTATCCTACTGCTTTGTAATGATAAAAGGGTACTAACAACAGTAAGAGAATTGTATCTCTATGGACTTCCTCATTTGTGGAGTACACTGCGGTATGGGGAAGGAAAACCCTTCTACCCAAGGAACACTTGGTAAACATTATTCTAGGGTTTTACCAATTGCCTCATTTCAGAGACACTACTTGGAGGCAATATGAAGCTGTATTTAAAAACAAAAAAAAGTTTACTTTGTGCATTTATCTGTAGTCACTGCACATTGATGTGATCTTATTTTCTTAAAATATAAGGAAGAACATGCTTGTGGAGAATTTGAAAATAAAAAGTTGTATCATGACCTTTTCTCAAAGCCAAAAGCAGTGACCTAATTTTCATTTATAGTGTCTTTAGTTAAGATTTATTCTTTCTGTCAAGGAAATACAATTAAAAGCCCAGAAATAAACCTATATACTTATGGCAAATTGATTTCCAACAAGGGTTCCAAGACCATTCTATGGGGGATTAGGGGAAAGACCAGTCTTTAAAAAAAATAAATAAAAAAAAAATTAAAAAAAAATATATACACATATGATTGATTTTTTTACAGAGGAAGGGAGAGAGATAGTTAGAAACTTCAATGAGAGAGAAACATCAATCAGCTGCCTCCTACACAACCCCATTAGGGATGTGCCCACAACCAAGGTACATGCCCTTGACTGGAATCGAACCTGGGACCCTTCAGTCCACAGGCTGATGCTCTATCTACTAAGCCAAACTGGTCAGGACAAGAACAGTCTTTTTAACAAACAGTTGCTGGTACAATCCACAGGCAAAAGAACAAAGTTGGACTCTTATCTCACATCATATTAAAAAATTAACTCAAAAAGGATCAAAGAGCTAAATGTAAGAGCTGAGACTATAAAACTTATTAGAAGAAAACCTAGAATGTTCCTGACCTTGAAGTAGGCTTTGGTTTCTTAGATAGGACACCTGAAGCACAAACAACAAAAGATAAATAGTATTCATCAAAACTACGAGACTTTCGTTAATTCTCTTCAATGAGGTGGCCAGCAGCCTCTCCAGCAGACGGAGATGCGGATCTTGTGAAGACCCTGGCTGGCAAGACCAGCGCCTTGAGGTACTGGTGACACTGCTGAGAATGTCAACGCTAAAATGCAAAAAAAGGAGGGCTAGGAAGGGATATGGGAGGTTGGCCAGCTGGGGAGGCGCCACAGGAGGGCTCCAGGGTGTGTCTGGCCTGTCTCACTCAAGCCTGATTGTTGGACCCCAGCAGCAAGCTAACATACCAGGTTGGAGCATCTGCCCCCTGATGGTCAGTGCACGCCATAGCGAGCAGTTGAGCCGTCTTAGCATATCATTAGCATATTATGCTTTGATTGGTTGAATGGCTGACATCGGTTGACCGGACACTTAGCATATTAGGCTTTTACTATATAGGATAATCAAAATAGGCAAATGCAGAGAGAGAAAGCACTTTAGTGGTGGCCAGGGGCTGGGAAAAGTGGATAGTGAGTATGGGGTTTCTTTTAGGAGTGGTAAAAATGATTTGGAATTAGATAGTGGTGATAGTTGTGCAACCTCATGAATATATACTGAAAACCACTGAATTGTACACTTGAGAAGGATAAATTTTATCTCAATTAAAAGGTAAGAAAAAAAAATATGTTCCCCTTTTGATAATTAGTCCTTTGGCCTGAATAAACTTAAGTTAGAGTTCTGTGGCTACTAACTAACTGGCCACCCACTGATTAAAATTAGGAAGTAATTTTTCTATTAGTAAAGGTAAGCAAGAAGATGAAACGTGCTTTCTCTCATACATGCAAGGCACTTAGAATGGGATCTTGTTTGTTACAGGCAAAAGTCCTCTACCTACACCACTGTTTCTTAATCTTTTCTTGCTCTACAGTCCCTCAATGCTCTTCCACTCTATCTTCCATATACTATCAAGAGCTAAGAAGATTTTGCTGAGCTTTACAGTCTATAGTTTACTCAGAAACAAACACAAAAATGACAGAAACAAAAGGAAAACAACCAGACACCTAAAATGCTTTCTGAAGCCATATATGCCACCCCTTTCTCTTCTCTGTACAATTGAGAAGTAGTACTTATGGTGACATTTTATAGTATTACCTTCGAATTGTAAGACTTTTGAATATTTGCACTTCTCACCATTTTCAAACAATTCTTCAAAATAGAAAACAAAGTTGGCAACTTGTCTTCTTTTCAATTTATTGTGTTTAAATATAAAGCTGAACAGGTTTAGAGAGTAATTCAATGCAGCTATAATACTGATGGTCAGTAGGACACAGACTGTAGTTTTAGTTCATTCCATAATAGTACAGAATAAGGGGAAACATTAAAATAACTTCTTAAAGTGATAGAGGATTTGGAAAAGTTCCCTAGAGTACATACAGCACGTTTCACGGATGAACTAAAAAGTCAGGAGAGCTAAGTTAACAATGTGGTTTAGAGCTCCTCCTAATGGCGCAAAGAATGAATGCTCATCTCGGGCTGTCCACAGCTCCACCATAAATAGTTTGTCAGTGAGACTGCAGAGAAAAAAAGGAATGGAAACAGTATGATTGTCCTTAGAAGAGACTTTTCAAAAAGTAGCTGGATAAAGCTCAAACAATAAAAACATCAGTTTTTTTTTTAAGTTAAATGTGCATTAGCTTTTGGTTAACATATATAGAAAAAAATGGAGAAACTTGAATGAGAAGAATTTCAATTTGAAAATATGATTTATTTGGGAATAGGAAAAGTTAGAAAGCAAGCAAAAACACTCACATTGACTTAATTTACAAGTAGGTTGACTTAACAGTAGTTTTTAACAGTGTCAGGTAGCCTTACTATGAAGAAATAGGGGTAATGAGAGCAATGGAGAGAATCTGTGGATAAATGAGCATGTGCCTGCCACAAATCCATTTCAGGGAAAAGTTAAGGGTATCCATAATTATAATTACAAAACAAATAATAATGGCTTTTCATAATTACAAATAATAATTTTCATAATTTAATAATAAAAAATCTCTGTAGAATGAATGCTTAAACATTTTAAAGTGCTGATGTATCACGGATGGGGGATAGCAGAGTTGGTATGCCAATCAACCATTGCAGTAGTGATTAGCTTCTTATTAGGAACTGGCTTATTCCTATGGCTAACATGTCAAAGCAATGGCTTATTCCAGTGCTTAACCATGTAAAACTAAAGGTTTCCCAAGTAACATTTCTTGTATCTGTTCTGACACCGAGAGATAACTGCTTTTCTAGGGCCATGTCCCTGAAGGGGGTCCCAGACTCCTCAGTGATAGAGGTGCTGCACACGTAAGAATTCAGAAAATAAAACCGTGACTCTAGGAGTGTGAGACTGGGTTCCCAAAGATTTCAGGAAGTTATGAAGGGTAAGAGGGACCCTTTCTACAGTGCCTTTGTGATCTCAATACTTAACCAGGATTCTTCTCTACAAAGTTGGGGGTGGGAGGAGAAAAAATGCCCATCTGTTAGCCCTTTCTAGTTTCTCATGAAATAGCCTGCCCTAATATAGTTCACAATTAAACATCGGACACCACTTTCTGGAATTAGGCATTATTAGTTTTTACAAACAAAAAGTAAATCTTAATACAATACAATGAAATACTGCCACCTTGTGTGCTTTCCCATTTGGACTGTTTAAACACAGAACTCAAAGTCAGGGTGGAATGAATGCTAACTGCTTACCGGGTAGATGTGCTTGTCTTCTCAACTGTGGACATGAGTCTTGCAAATGCATCAGTCACTTTGAGGCTTGAGGTGGAGATTTCCAGCTTAGACGTTGTTAACTCATACAACTCTGGATCCACACCTTATAGTATAAAATGATAGTCAGTGATGGCAAGCTGCAATTTGGTCACTCAATTAGCCACAATCCAAGATGCAAAAGGCAACTGTTCTGTAAACATCTGAGTCTTTTATAAGTACAACACATCTTTAGTGTACTGTACCACTGTATTTAAAAAATTTTAAGTTTCACTTTTTAGAGTTCTTATAAAATAGGAAAATACTTTCAAAATTCCACTTTGGTATATGTATAGTCTTTAACATAATACAACCCAAACATTCTAAAATTCTATCTCCTATAGAAAGCTCCCTCAATTTTGGATTAGTTTGCAATATGAAAGTTAACAATGTTTTATAAGTGGAATGCACATGATTTGTTATATAATAGGATGACTCAATTGTTAAGTTGACTGATAAATCACATTTTTTGAACCATCCTCTAATGCTACCTTCTTGACCATTTTCCTGCATTCTTTTCTTTCACACCAAAGAATTTGGAAGGTAATATAAAGTTTCAAATATGGCAATAGATTTGGTTAGTTTAAATATTCTGATAATTTGAGGGACTAAGATATTACTCAAAGCATTAAATTATTACTGAAGATATATATCAATTTGTTTTTTCCTAAGAAGTGGGAGGGTATAATATTCTCAGAAAAAGTGAAAAAAGAATTACTTTTGGGCGAAATAAAAATTGTCTCAAGGGTTAATTATATTTATATAGTCTCATATCTAAATCAAAATATCTTTTAGACAAAATATCTTTTTTTTTAATATATACTTTTTGATTTCAGAGAGGAAGGGAGAGGGAGAGAGAGATGGAAACATCAATGAGAGAGAATCATTGAATGTCTGCCTCTTGCACACCCCCTGCTGGTGATCAAGCCTGCAACCAGGGGATGTGCCCTTGACCAGAATAGAACCTAGAACCCTCAGTTTGCAGGCTGACACTGTCAACTGAGCCAAACTGGCTAGGGCTAGACCAGATATCTTGTCAGAGGAATTCAAAATGAAGCTGTGTTAGGGTATTAGACTTATTGTAAGTTTATAAAAATCCTCCCCTTATCTGACTTCAATAAAATATACTTATCTATTTTTATATTTCTCTTGAATATAGATTTATATTAAATAAGATTATGAAAACAATGAAAAGAACAATTAAATATTTCAACTCAAGCTAAAATTTGGATAATAAAGATAATGAGATAAAAAGAATTTTAATTGTATACTCTTCTTGGTCCCAGCAAATTACTTGAGACAAGTCCAGTAGTTTCAGTGTTTAATAGAAAAAACAGACTGTAAGGGAGAATGTCTTATAGTTTCATCAATCTTTATTTTTTAACAAGCTCTGATGATCAGCTAGTAAAATTACATATAAGTGCACATATTGATATTAACAAGTTTCCTCCTGTTAGGATATTTCAAGATTAAAAAAAAAAAAAAAAAAAAAAACACACAGGAACTGCCTTCAACTTAGGAAATGATTAGCAGATGTAAACATAGATCTCAGATGTTTACAGAAATCAAACAAGCAAAAGCAGCTTCCACATTTACAATGTCCAACAAGGGAGGAAGGCTATAGAAAATGTTTGTTGACTCTCCCAAGTTCTTAATATTTCATTAAGGTACAGTTTCAAAATATATCTAGAAGGCCTTTTATAATAAGTATATAATTGCAATTAAAATATACAAAATTATAGATGCCTGTGAAGGGACTAAACGAATCCAAAGTACCTTTTTCCTCCACTGTGAAAGGTTAGCTTCTAAGTAACCACAAAATTTCAGTAGCTGTTTAAGGAACAATGCAGAATAAAAAACTGCATTCTGACTGGCAACAGAAAATTGCTGGTAAAAATTTACTTGGATTTGTAAAATACTGGCTACTTGGCTGTCAAACAGTAAAGTGGGAGATAAAAAACAAAATAATCAACCTCCCCCAGCCGAAAACAAACACTATCATATCACATGCACGAAAAGAAAACAACAGTACTATGGCCTTTTTAAAAAACAAAGTAACTCCCTACTCTATACTAATAATTAGACTAATTATTTTTAATGGAAGATTTTTTTTTCCATCAAAATCTTAATGAGGCATAGTTTAGTTACATAACTAAAGCTAGCCAACCAAGTTCTATGCCAACCTCCTAAGTCTCACACACAAAATAATTAACCGCAAGCTGAGACAAAATGACTTTCCCAGAAACAAGTCAGAAGAAGTGCAAGCAAGTAGTGAAATGGAATACTAAGGAAGGTGTTGATACCTGTAGCTTGATGGTAAGTTTTAACAAAACCCAATAGCAATAAAAAGAAGGCAAAGCAACTTTATAGTAATCAAGTTTATACAGCAGCTAGAGCATATAATGAAAATACGGAATGAAAATATTTAAAAGATTCCAAAGTAATGAGGACCACATTTGACCATGCTGATTTCACTTCTATCACAGCTCTAAGCTTCCCTCAAAGCTACTGAGCCTGGTTATCAGGTCATCTCTGTACTTCTTTATATGATTAGATTATCTATGGATGATTTTTAACTGAGTTTAGAATGTAACCAAAATTTAAATTTAAACCAGATTTTTAAGCATCCAAAAATAGCGCCCTCATTTAGATTATAATATAGTTCATGACAAAACAAAGCTAAGAGCAAATTAAAAATGGGAACTTGGTAATTCATTCTTGGGACCTGTACAGTTATAAGGAAATTGATACAGACTTTCCCCCCTATTTAGTATTAAAAACAACTAATTAGCTCACCCAGTCATTATTTCAAATGTATTTAGAAATAATGTAAGTAAATAGTAAAATATCATTTTGAAGTCACAACCAGACAGAGATTGGTTTTTTCATATGTTTGCAAAATCTTGGAAACAATGACCATGATAACCAGGGCTTAGATTGGAGGAACTGAGTCATTCTACCAAATGGCCTTGGACCTTCCTTATAGCAGGATCAGATTTCCATAACCACACCTTGGAGAAGGGCATCCACATCCCAACATCCCAGGTTCACCCTTAGCTGACTCTTACTCTCCCCCATTTCCCATCGTAGCACCTATACTGCTGGAAGTGGGTGGCAGTGTTATCTAGTTGAATAGGATAAACCCAGCAAATTCTCAGGAACCAGGCTGACTGTAACTGGCCACCAGTGGAGGCACAGAGAGAGCCTGGCTATGCATTCTGGGCATCAGCATCTATACATTGCACCCCAATGGCTATCTGATGACCAATGGGCATGATTACCAGATTATAAGTTGGGATGACAGTCATTAAAATCATATTAAATAAAATGTAAACATAAAAATGCCATTATATTTTAATCTTTTATTCAGTTAGACAATGACAAAATACATTAGTTCTTTGGTCAATGAACTGAACTTTCGCAGGGCTGAACATTAACAGGCACTCCAAGTAAGGTTTATTTCTAACTTTTAGTATCTCATAGCAATTATTTCCTATTATTAACTTTTTTCCCTCCACATGGAAAACTAACAGTAAACTTTCTACTTAAGAGCTACATGAAGACAACAATAGTTCTATGTGGCACTATATAACTAAGTGCTAGATTCCAACATTTTGGAACCTAATTATACATTCAGCACTAATAAACAATTAATTGAATGCTAGCATCTGTAAAGGTTTTATTATCACAGGCACTACAATGTAAAGTCATCTTTGTGTACTAAAATATTCTTATATCTCTAAACTTTTATTTTTTTCAAATGGCTTTATAGAATATGCTTGAAAAAATAAGCATATCAAATATCACATTTTTTCATTTACAGGGAAAAAAACCCTCCTGCCTTTAAATAAAGACATTAGGACTGTTTTATTCCTAGAAATGACTCTGAGCTCTGAATATTACACTCTGAGAAAGCTTTCCTTAAAATACATTTCACATAAGTCATTTGCTATAGTCAGCTACAAGGAAAATAACAATAGATAGGTGAAAGAAAAGTATTAGAAAGACATCATAGAGAATACAATCTACTTATTTCCTTGTTTATAGGAAAGTCAAGTGATGTGGTCATGCTCTCAGTAAATGAACTAGAATTGTGGTTTGGACACTCTGCTGACCTGGGATTGTGGTGCTGCTGCTAGAGCTACTGTCATCCACGGGCCCAAAGAAATCAAGGTTCAGAAGAGTGGAACCTCCACTGGCTTGAAATTCAGTGACCGTGTTGGTAGGCAGCCACACAGAAGGTAAGCCAAGGGAGGAGGGGTTATGTGTAAAAAGGGGTAAGACACACACTTGAACATGCAGGTTATAATTAGTAGTCATTACACATTTTAAAATCAACATTGAAACAATGTGTACAGTATTAGTTTTTCATTACTAAGGACATTTCTGAAGTAACAATTTAATTTGATGTACATTTTCTCATGTACAAGTTAAATGATTTAACACTTAGTAAGGTTTTAGTTAGAAGTTCAATTCTTTCAATCAAACTCAAAGCCATAGCAGAAAGACCAAGGGAAAATATACCCGTTAAAGGGAAACAATACTTTAATCTCAACCCAACATTAAATCACTGCATATGCCCAAATCAATCTTTCATGTTAGTAATGCTGGTTTCCAATTAATAATGTTTAAAAAGTGACAAAGTTTTCAGTTTTAGGACACACACCAATACATTAATTTAGTTTAAAATAAAGCAATATGTCATAACTGCCCTACCCTGATGTGCAACCTCAAGCTGTACTGTTCCCCTTTAACTCTGAAACAGTAATCAGAAATAATACACATTTTTAAAGAAGTTGTTTGTTAATAAAAAGCACGATGATTTGACTAAATAAGACACCAGACAACAGCAAGAGGTGCATCCAGGCTTTCCTTCAGCACTGTTATTCAATTGGATGCTTTCCAAATATCCTAGCTCCCATTCTAAGGCAAAATTGACAGAATGCTTTAAGCAATGGCTCAAACAACTGATGACATAAAGGAGGAAGAATAATTGAATCTTAGGGTCAAATTAAAACTTGTGGTTTCAACACATTGGAAAGTTAGCATTTCACATTATTTTAAAGACTCCACATTACTAAAATAAGCTTTTCCTTTCTGAAGAATTTCTCTTAAAACTGTGAGTGAAAACAATTATTTCTGGAACTACTTACCAGCATTTTGAGATAAATTTTAGAAAAGGATCATGAAAATCATTCACTTTCTATTTGCATGTAAGTGCTTTATAAAATATTATTAAATCTGAAAACTACATTGAGTCAATAAATATGGGTCTATTTGCATTGTTTTTAGTTAAATAACTGTGGTTTGTGCTTCAAAGCAGCCTCTATTCAAAAGACTTTGCATCCAAGAAAATTCTATAAATTAAGAACTGCAGAAACAAATTTCAAGTAAATTGATCCTACCTACAATACCATTTAAACTACCTACATACTTGTGAAAAATAAAGACATTTTTTTGATTTAAGATGAAGAAACTAAAATTGTACCTAACTACTACTACTACCTATATTTAGCCATTAATGCTAATTAATAGTAGTAATGGCTGATTTCTTGAGCAATTACTATTCAGAAAGAAAGCCTGAATTTCCAAAGATAAGAATAAGAAGTTACGTTCAAACAAAAAAGGAAATCAGCAGAGAGAAGTTTGTCTGAACTTTGTAGCTTTCTTAGCTCTAGCTCTGGTGCTAGAGGCTCTACGGAGAGACGTACCATCTAAAGGGTTAGTAAGGCCACTGCTACTCCAGTCAAACTGGACGGGTGGTAGAGACTCCTAGAGTTGAAAACCAAAAAATCAAAATTAATCAGTACAGAATATATCAACGAAAAAAATCCTTTACAAAGAAAAAATCTATTATAGCAAGATAATTAGGCAATAAAATTCCTAAAGACAAAATTGGGATAATTTACAATTTCAGAAGGTTACCTGCAAATAATATTAATCCAAACTGAAATTGCAAAATTTACAAACAGTATAGCTTGACATTGAAAAAGTTGTATCTAAAAAATGGAATTATCTTTACATTTCAAACAGAAATGTATGGACTGTTTCTATGTCAAGATTTCAATCAATTCTCAAATCATTATTTAAGCTATTGGCTTTATTACAATAAAAACATTAAAATGTATAAAATATCACTGACCCTTTTCACTAGTGTAATAACTTTAAATGACCTGGCATTTAAAAATGGCATAATGCAATAGAGAAGGAATCCTACAAAAATGGAGGAAATGTGGATGATCTGAAACTGAGCAACTAATCAGTAACTATTTATATGACATATATGGCTAATTTAGTTGGTCTCAATATATACAAAATGAGAAAGCGCAAGGTCCTAGATCTCTGGTTCTTTACAATTTTCCAAATTGTACATATAAGATGGAAAGTAGTACAAAACATTTTAAAAATGAGTATCGCTTTAAGAATATTCTTTTTTATTTTTTTTAAAGAATATTCTTGGTAAAAAAAAATGTGGTTTCTGGTTTTCTTTCTTTCATGTTGGGGCAATATTGACAACACTCACTGAAATAATTTGTATTTTATTAGACTCAGTATCAACATGTTGTCTTTTTTTCTGCATACAAACACACACACACACACACACACACACACACTTTATTGTAAGGTGGGTACTATTTAAACTTAATTCTCTTTTTTTTTTTTCTGTGTAAAGATATTGAAAGGATCATAAAACCATTATTTCTGAAAGTCTCAAACCATAAACCATAATATTGTATAATAATAATTATCTTCATAACTGGAATACCAATGACCGAAATGTTTCTATAAGCATCTAGTTGTCCCAAATTAGGTCAGACCTGGAAGTTGGGGGGAGGGATATAAACAAAGTAGAACGCTAACATTAGTGGGCACCAGGGGTTAGGGATAGTTGTGGGAGTGGGGTGAGGAGGGGGCAGTAGAGCAAGAAGTATTAAGGGAGTTCTTTGTGCCAATGGAAAAGTTCTGTATCTGGATTGCAGTGTGGTTATATGAATATTTCAACATGATAAAAATGACATAGAACTATGCACACATATTGTACAATGGTCATGTTACTTGTTTGATATTGTACCATAATAATGTAAGATGTAAACACGAGGAAAACTGGTGAAGGGTACACGGCACTTCTTCTGTATTACCTTTGCAGCTTCCTGTGAATCTATACTTATTTTAACAAAAAAATTATGAAAATCGACTGTATAACCTACTTGTAAGACTGATAAACAAAATTTAGAAAAGGTCTTCTTTAGCTGATCTCAAAACAAACAAACAAACAAACAAACAAACAGCTCTAGGCATTCCAACAGATTCAACTTACATATTCTACTTCTACACCTTCAGTCATATTTAACACTGACTGAATGAACAAACCCAATTTATGAAGTAACAAAATTTCTGGATAAATGCAACAAAGCTTTTTCATTAACAATTTATCTAAATGATGTCAAGTAGCTGGATACTTAGAAATTTCTATTTCAGTGATCTGCTAAAATTTTAGTTTTTCATATATGTGTCTATGGCATTTTAAAGACACAGCCAATAATACAGGGTGGGGACAAAAGTAGGTTTACAGATGTTTGTATGGAAAATAATACAATATTAATAAACTAGAGGCCTGGTGCACGAAATTAGTGTATCGGGGTGTGTGTGTGTGTGTGTGTGTGTGTGTGTGTGTGTCCCAGCCCAGCCTGCACCCTCTCCAATCTAGGGCCTCTAGAGGGATGTTCGACTGCCCATTTAGGCCGGATCCCAGTAGGTCACCTCTAACTGCCTTCCTGAAGGCCTGGTCACCCCTAACTGGCCTCCCCTGTAGGCCTGGTCCTTCCCAACTGCCCTCCTCTGTCGGCCTGGTCACCCCTAACTGCCTTCCCCTGCAGGCTTGATCACCCCCAACTGTCCTCCCTTGCAGGCCTAGTCCCTCCCAACTGCTCTCCCCTGCTGGCCTGATTGCTCCCAACTGCCCTCCCTTGCAGGCCTGGTCCCTCCCAACTGCCCTCCCCTGAAGGCTTGATTGTCACCAACTGCCCTCCCTTGTAGGCCTGGTCCCTTCCAACTGCCCTCCCCTGCTGGCCTGATCGCCCATAACTGCCCTGCCTTACAGGCCTGGTTCCTCCCAACTGCCCTCCCCTGCTGGCCTGATCGCCCTCAACTGCCTTCCCTTGCAGGCCTGGTCCCTCCCAACTGCTCTCCCCTGCTGGCCATTTGTGGCAGCCATCTTGTGTCGACATGGGGGCAGCCATCTTGTGTGTTGGAGTGATGGTCAATTTGCATATTGCTTTTATTAGGATAATAATACAAGAATAAACTCTGTGTTTTGAGTACTCACAACTGTAAACCTACTTTTGCTCCCATCTTGTATAATAATGAGGTGCTAAAACACAAATCAACATTTTGTAGAAATGAGACAGATGAAAAACTGGACACCTATGCAATTATAGGCTAACTAATGACATTGACAAGGCAACTAAAAAGAAAAGCAATGGAATGAAGCATTTTAAATAACTTGAAGCAATATGGTATGATTACCGTACTGTGGAGACAAAAATACTAAGAAAAACAAGGTCTTAAAAGAGCAAAAAAAAAAAACTGAAAAAGGAGACTAGAGACAGAAATCTTGCGTTATCTGGTCTTAGCTATACCATTGATAGATGATTTGGGATATATTACTTAGCCTTTCCAATATATATTATAAAGGAGAGCACAATTATAATTGTTTTCTTTTTTTCTAACTCTAAAATTCATAACTGAAATAGCCACATCAAGTAGCCTACAAGAGGAAGTTAGCTAGTGGCGACTAAATGAATAACTGCTAGTCAGAGAGTTTAGTCTACTCAGTAATGAGTGAAATCTAAAATAATAAAAGTGTAATATGCTAGTTAGACTGGACATCCTTCCAGATGACTTTCTGGATGAAGCTGGGCTGTGAGGGAAGCCCACGTCCCAGAGGGAAGGAAGGCCTATTCTTGCATGAATTTCATGCATCGGGCCTCTAGTATGGTTATAAGTACTGATCCTTCTAAGAGGAAAATCAGTAATGAAACCAGGAATGGTGTGACCTTGAAATTCAGTGTATAAAGATAAAAACAAGACAACAAAAGCATCACTACCCCTTTTTACCTATAATTTGTCTTAGAAAAAACACCAAACACCATTTACAGTTGCCAATAAGTTATTACATTTCTAAACAAGAGATGCAATAGTTAAAAGATTAATGAGTACAAACTAATTTGGAAGAAAGAATAAAAATTCAGTGGGTACCAAAATTGAGCTAGAATAGACAAAACAAAAAGCATGCAGTCACAATGAGAATTATGTAAATAAATTTGAAAGTCAATGTTTAAAGCTGCCCAAAACAAACACTTTATAAAAGGAAGGTTTGGTATATTCTTTTTTTTTTAGGGGGGGAGGGGAGATTGGGCGGGGAAAAAGAAGAGATATTAAACAGGTCTTTCCTGACACATTTTGTTAAGTTTCTAGCACTGAAGGCTATATAGCTTTTTAATCTGAAAATTATGAGTAGCAGGAAGACATAACAGCCTTACTGCATGGCCAAGAAGTAAAGTAAAAGTAGTATGTATGTTGCATGCCAAAGAATAGTGGTAAGAAATAGCACTTTATATAAAGATATCTTTACAACATATAGCAGATGTTTGTTAAATATTTTAACTTGAATCACAAGTATGGAGCCAAGCAAGATCTCACTTTTTAGTGATGGCAGTCAGGCATCGCAGCACAAAGTTCTGATATGCTTACTGAAATCTGTTTAAGTGTCTTTATATATATTAGAATGATGACTTAAATGATCTCAAGTCAATTCAGAAATAAATATGAACAACTTCCATTGGGAAGTATATTTTCATGAGTTCCCAGAAAAGCCTAAAAACTAAAACTAAAGAGGATCACAAACTACAACAAAAAAGTATAAAATAATTTTTAAATTCACTATTTTTTTGTAAAAAGAAATGTGTGCACTAACAGAATAAAAGGATATGTTTGATTAAAAAGACCTTTTTTTTATATAAGTAGCAAGAGAGCAAGTTCCATTTTTTTAACAAAAAAGTTAGATGTGCTTAATGTTGCTAAAAATTTCTACACTTGCCTTTAAATAGGGAGACAGTAATCCTTTACAAGTACACAGGGGTGTATGCGCATGAATAGATGGCAACATACTATGGAGCTGCAAATAACCTCCATTACATTAACATTAATTTCCATTGAAATTAATTTTCATTAAATTGACACATATTTGTATTAGGTCATCTAGATTTTTTAAAAGCATGTCTATAATTAAATTATATAATGAAGATATGTATAAGGTATGACTACAATGAAATACATAAGATAGGCCAGATTTGGTAAAATAAACAATAGTTTATGGGGCTCTAATTCATAGACTTGGATAGGAGGAGAAGAGGGAAAGGAGGAAAGCAAAACTAGCAACAAGTGGCCTACAATAAGAACAGCTCCATTTTTAGTAAATGAGCCAGCAATGTGAGTATAAGAATGCTGATTAAGGTAGACATGGAAATGAGTTCTAGGAGAAATAATTTTGGAATATGCATAGATAAGGCAGGCATGGGAGGGGAGATGATATCCAGAGGGCAATGAAAAGAGGATAAATCTAAAGACAGATTCTACTTACTGAGATATTTTGCCTAAGCCATCTTACCTATTTCCCAAAAGAGTTGGTGAAAGACCAGGTATTTTATGCATCAGGCCTTTGCTCACGAATTCAAAGGGATGTAAACTGGCTTCAAAGGAATGTTTAGCTGTGCCCAGGTATAAACCACAGTGGTACACAGCAGTAATATCATAAGTTTCTTGAAACACACTTGAAAGGGAAGGACCCTGCTTTATAGCATTATTTTCTAAAGTATGTTTTTCAAATACCAGTGCTGCAGGCTTTAAGACTCTTCTCCCCTAGTAACCTGCAGAAAAGGGTCTTGTGGCCAAGAATATTTGAAATATGAATGACAATTAAATAGGGTTATTCACTACAGGATTCTTCGAGTCCTTAATGTGAGTGTTGTGAATCTTCAAGGGTAGCTGAAGCCCTTCTTTTGTGTTGCATCTCTGGGGATTAGTATTTAGGGGAGCACACATTTTGGGAAAGGCTGTCCAAACATACATTTTTGTGTTAGATATAACTGAAGATGATATTTAAGGTTAAGAAATGACAAACACAGCAAGGATATGTTTTAGAAATGGTAACGTTCACTTAAAAATAGCAATTTTCTAAAAAACAGTATTTAACTAGCACTAAATCCATTTCTGGTCTGATGTGGGAAAAGTAAGCAACCTAAAATGGATATTTTCCTCAGATAAAGTGAGAGGGAGGCTTTGATATTATATATATTAGACTAAAATAAATTTTGTGCTTAAATGTGCTAAGCAGGTAAAGAATAAGAAAGGTAAAAGAGCTTTCTTTTTTTTCTTAATGGATAGTTTTGCTAAATGTCACATCATTTTCAGTAATAGTTTTATTCAAACTTCCCAAACACCAGTTTTTGATATAATAAACACATCTAAACTTTATAAATTTTGCAAGCTTCAAAAAAACCCCCACATAATAGAAGATTTGAAGAGTCAGTATAAATGCAGTGTTCCCCATTTTTGAGGACATCCAGCACTTACCAGATTTGTGTATCAGTAATGACCATACAATGTTCAAGCTGCAAGGGACTTTTAGAGATGCATGTTTCAAAGTCTTCATTTTAAAGGAAAAGAGACTACGTTTTAGATAGGTTTAAAGGACTTGCTCATGACCAGCCAGTTCTCAATTTGTGTCTTTCTAATCTTAGAAATGAAAGTAATTTGTTCATTGTATTCCAAGTGGTGTTATTTAATAAGTAATCAAAATCACACCCATCATGAAGTCAAATTTTTAAGACATTAAAAAAATTAAGTCTATACCTGTATGTCCAGTGTGTGTGGACATACATATATAGATATGCCTGAACATATCTATACACACAGATATTTTTACCTGGAATTGGTCAGATGTACATGTGTTCATTTCTGGTGACATGGAGGTTGTCTGACCGATGGAAGCAATTTTTTCTGCAGCAGATAGTGGTTTCAAGGGTTCCTTGGTAGGCTCTAACATACCCTGAAAAAGGTATATTAGCCATTAATTTGGGGTAGGGGAATCAACCCATAAACTTTACAAGAAATTTAATCTATAAGGAAGCAGAAAGGATAAAACAGATTATTTGGAAAGTTACTAAAGACAAAAGGAGCAATTCTTAAATTTTGTGTAGAGAAAATTTTATTGCACTATAATGAGAACTGTTTCACAGTAATACCTTGGGAACCCAAACTTTTTGAAGACCCTGTATTTTAAATCAAATTTATTTTAAAGTACCTGGTTATCACTGCCACACAAAAGCAAAAGCACAAGCTGTGATGGCGAGGATGGGGAGAATCTTTAAGAAATGAGCATAAACAACAGATATTACATACCAGCCCCAACAATTTTATGATGTTTCTGACACTGAATCCGCAGGCAAAGGGCTCCTTCATACACATTACACCATGGTGGTGCTGGAGAACTGTGAGCTAATTTTAAAACACATGGGAATCTATTGTTTGATTCTAGCTCAACTAAAACATGGGAGCCTTAATACTTAGTTCTTTGGACTGGCCAAGCAGAGACACAACCATTTCAGAGGAGAAAACATCTTACATGTTCCACTAGGTGTATGAAAATCTAATATGCTTTTTGAGTTACACTAAAATATAATGGGATACTGGTCTGAAAAAAAAGCCAAGGTTTTATACATTTAAAACTAATACTTGATAAGTTCTGAGTATTTATCAACCAGACCAAATAAAAGTCTCCCTCTAATGGGAGTAGAGTGGGGATGGGGAGGAATGCAAAATCAAAGCTGCTAAGTCAATAATGTTAGAATCTGTAAATTTCTAGAACCTCCTTCCCCCAAAATATAGAGCATAAACTACCTAAAGCAACTTACAGATTGAAGTCATGAATGCACGGTCTAGCTCAATACCCCTTGCATAAGTGTGCCCTTATACTAGTACAATGTATTTGGCAATTACTAGTCTTAGCCAACTTTTCTAATGTGACCTATCACTTAAACCAGTGGTTCTCAATCAGTAGTAGTCCTCAATCAATAGTTTCTGCATCCCCTGGGTTAGATGTGCAAATTCTTAAGCCCCACTCCAGACCTACTGATCAAGAACTCTGAGGGTGGAGCCCAGCATTCTGTGTTTAACAAGTCTTCCAAGCACTTCATATTAAAATCCAAGAACCAGTGACTTAAATGATCATTTCAGATACTATTCCTCCAGATGAGATCAAAAGATATTGAACATCTCACATTTGTAAAGCACCATGGGAAAAATTAAGGCATTATTAAAATTTGAAGCCAGATATGAAAAAGAATAAACTTCTAAATGTAAAGCATTACTAAAATGAATGATAAAATGATGCATTCACTAAATCAACTTCAGAATTAAAAGCTTATAAAAATAGTAAGTTATTATTAACAAAGATTTTAATTATGCTAGCAAAATAAAGCATAAATATTCATCGCTAACCTCTCACAAAACTTTAAGAACTGGCTCATGTTATGAGCTTACACATAAGCATTAAGTAGGTTATTGCTGAATGAAAGCTCCTACAGTAAAATTCATATTTCCTGTTTAGAATATGACAATAACACCAACAACTTCGGGAATGCTATTCCTTGAGGGGGAAAAAAATACAAAGAACCAAAACTTTAAATAAATATTGTGGATTATATTTATCCACAGCAGAAAAGGGTGTAAGGATAATCAAGGTGTTTTGAAAATGTAAGATTTATTAATGAACAGAAACTGGTAAGAATGAATGCAGAAAAGTTTTGTCCAATTTCACAAAACAAACAAAACTACAAAACAAAACAAAGCAAAATGGTCCAACTCAATATCAATAATTAGAGCTTATTCATGGGAAAAACTTTAGATTAAAGAAAGGTCAAGCTCCACAGCAAATTCATTTTTACATGCACATAAAGAATTAAAACTTATATTCCACACCAAGGGTACCTTAGCTTTTTCTTTCTTTCTCAAATATAGTATTTTCAAGTTATTGGCAAAATTTTTAAAAAATATTTTTAGTTTACTAGATAAGACATTTTAATCCACCAATAACTCAATGACACACCAAAAACCACAAACATATCCAACTTTAAAATGTGACTGAATCTTGATATGGTACATAATGACAATTCCTCAGTTATCCTGGACTACCTGGCATATCTAAAAAAACAAAACAAAACAAAAACAAAATTCAACACATTTACAATATTAATGATAAAACTAAGGACCAATTATGGGCATTTTCAGTTACTACAATTTTGTATTTCGAAGCTATTATATACATCTATAGTTTTGTTATTTAAATTGATCACAATTGGATTAATACAAATGGTATCTAAGTCTTTATATATTTTAGCTTTTTCTACTTGAAAGCAATTTAGAAAAAAGAAGAAAAATACACAAGAAAAAAGAGAGACCTCCAGGAAAGCATTTTACAATGAGCACTAACAGTAATAAGATAAAAGTAATTTTCAATCTAAAACAAAAGTCTATAACTAACGGAGTATAAAAAATATCCTCAGATCAAGACTTAAAGGGATTTATGACATCAAAAATGATACAATATTTATTCCCTTAATGTTCTCATTTTAAATCCCTTAAAATACATGTCATATTATGTAAATGATTTAATATAATAAATGCAGCAATGATAAATACACACAGAAACATTTTTATACTTACCAATCCTGCTGCATACATGGGCACTATAACAGGTTGCTTCTTATTGCCCGTGAAGAGCTATACATGTGTTAGAGAGAAACAGCATATATTTAGATAATGATCTGTCATAAAATGAAATACTTTCCAAAAAATGCTTGCAATGCTTAACTACCATACATCAACAATGGTAAATTGAAGAAATTGTCAAATTGCCCCTATGGGTTGGAATTTTAATCTCCTAGTCCAATTCTTTCATTTTATAGTTAAAGAAAACACTAAACAACTTTTTCTAAAAATAAGAAATATTGATTGGAGAAAAACTGAGATAGATTTATGTTTAAAAGTTGGCATATTCAAAATACATGAACATCTAGACCAATTAATAATTAGTTTTCTGAGGAACTAGCTTCTCACAGCTTAAATAGAAATGTAATTATTTAAAAACATCCAAAAGTTGATGAAAGGAATCTCCAAGGTACTAGCAAACTCACAATGTTTCGGGTGTCTATTCCCAAGGAGCACAAAAGCTTCTTGTTGCTATGGGAGCCGCCCCACTGATATCTCAAGCCATGTGCATCGTGGATATCCTGTAGCTCAGTCCATACATCCAGCAGTTCCCTGTAAAGTCATGATGAAGCCACCAACAATGATTTACTCAATAGCTTTCACCACGAATTCTAACTTTTAATGTGACTGTGAAATATTATACATTCCAATTAATCTTGAGTCTAACATGAATATACAACCAATATCTGAATTCAATCAATACCCAACACTTACAGTCATTAGAAAAGTAACTAAGTTAAACTCATTGGAAACAATATGCTAGTAATCAAGCACAAATTTAGCTTGTATGTTGTTTTTCATATTAAAGCAAAAATATTTAAAAGGAAAAATAAACTCAGCATTCTACTTTTTTATTACAGCCATTTAATATTTGTATTTCCTCCTTGAGTTTTGATCCCCCAAAACACAGTGCAATTATAGCATATATATAATTTTGTATTTTTTCAGATTTTAAGATTTCCTCATTTACATATGTGTTTTTCATAGACTGTGTAATATTCTATTAAGACCAAATGCACCATCATTTATTTAGCTATACTCCTACAGTTTTAAATAAGATTTTCTGTTCAGCTCTTGTTAGTAAAGCAAGAATATCTTCATGTACTTTATGGTGTGTGTTGTTGTTGTTGAGTTGTGTTATTTCCTTAGATGATCTTCTGGAAAGAGATTCCTGGGTCTAAGAGTATCAACGACCTATTCAACTAACAATAAAAAAAGCAAACAAAAACAGTTTTAAGCTGGCAAAAAATAAACCTTTTTGTCCCCATTCTCTTCTCAGATTATCAACCCCAAAACAAAAATCAAGAAGCAAAAAATAATCTCCATCTTCAATGAAACTAAAAGATACTTAAGACCCTAAGCCACAAATATTAAGGTCACAGAGAGCTACGAAGGGAAGACCTGTGGAAGGAAAGAATGCCTCCAGAGGTGAGAGTAAAGAAATGCAGGAGTCCAGGAATGCAAATAACGTTGAAATTAAAACTAGAAAATCAATCTAGATCCTCTAACAGCTAATAATAAGAGTTCCAGAAAGAAAAACAGAGACAATGAAAGAAGATAATTGTCAATACAAGTGGAACTGCCCTACCCTGGAGAGCGGGAGTCTTTGGACTAAAAGGTCCCGTGCTCAGTCCGAGGAATGACAAGACTCCTATTTCATTGCGAAATTTCACAACACCAGCAACGAAAGATCCTAGATTATAAATTTAATGTGAGAGTAAATAAAATAAAACTATCTCCTCTGTACCTTTTTTCTCAGGAGGCTATTAAGAGGATGTGGGGCCATCAAAATGGGATCTAAGTGAACCCAAGACAACATGTGTTTAAGAGGATTGAAATAGGAAGCTGGAAGTTCCTAGGGAAAAAATGGTATGGCCAGCCTGACAGGTTTGATCATAAGTAAAATTATATTAACCTGATTACCTCAATATTTTATTTCTTTCCCAATCTGTTTGCTGGTAGAAAAAGGCTTAGAAATGTAAAAAGAGAGTCAGAAAAAAGTTGTACTATAATGGAATTAGTGGCTACACTAGGACCATTATTAACATCCTATATAATAAAGAGGTAATGTGCAAATTGACCATCAAGCCCTAGGACAAGATGGCCACCCCCAAGATGGCTAGCAGGGGAGGGCAGTTGTGGGCAATCAGGCCAGCAGAGGAGGGCAGTTAGGGGTGACCAGGCCAGCAGTGGAGCGCAGTTGGGGGCAATCAGTCCTACAGGGGAGGACAGCTGGGGACGACCAGGCCTGCAGGGGAGGGCAGTTCAGGGTGAGCAGCCCTGCAGGGAAAGGTAGTTGAGGGCAACCAGGCCAGCAGGGGAGGGCAGTAGGGGGTGACCAGGACGGCAGTGGAGGGTAGTTGGGAGCAATTGGGCTGGCAGGGGAGCAATTAGGCGTTGATCAGGCTGGCAGCACAGTGTTTAGGGGGTGATCAGGCTGGCAGGTAGGCAGGCGAGAAGTTGGGAGCCAGCAGTCCTGGATTGTGAGAGAGATGTCCCAACGGATCAGGCTTAAACCAGCAGTTGGACATCCCTCGAGGGGTCCCAGATTGGAGAGAGTGCAGGCTGGGCTGAGGGACCCCTCCACCCCAAGACCACAAATTTCGTGCACCGGGCCTCTAGAGATTATCATAATGAAAACACCAAATAAAAATTTAACTGAAAACTATAAGTATATTGGAATGATGGAGAATAGCAGATATAAGATCTAAATTCTGATCTACCATACTACGAAGTCAAAAGATGGAATGTAAGATTGACTGATTAGAATACTGATTTAGAAATATCAGGAAAAAAGCTAAAAAATGTAGACGCATGGAGGTTTTAAAAAATTATGTATTTTTAGCACAATATGATTTTTTAAAACCTTAACACAATGTTTCGGAATCTTAATGTTTTTGATAACCTTATAAAATAGAAGTTGACACTAACATATCTACATACTATCTAACAACTGTCTACTACTTACCCACTTTCAGTTAAGGCCTCTCTTGTCTTTACTGGCAAGGTGCTTGTTTCCAGCAAGTGCTTCAGGGACGTAACTTCCTCTTCAGTATCAGGGACAAATATGGAAGGAAAACATGCTTCGAAAATTCGTTCCAGGCGGTTTAGTAAAGCTGTCTGTACCAAAACACCCCCCAAAAGTATATTTTCATTTCTCAAGTTTTAATGTCATATTTCTTCTTCTTCTTCATCATCATCATCACCACCACCACACACACACACACACACACACACACACCCTCTGTCCATTATTATAAGACAGAGAGGGAAAATACCAACCAGCAGCATCATCACACACACACACACACACACACACACACACACACCCTCTGTCCATTATTATAAGACAGAGAGGGAAAATACCAGTCAGACACATGTGAAAGAAGCACAACTACTCATAGAAGAGCTGTTTTAAATGATGACTTTAAATAATCTTGGTGATATAGCGATGGAAAGTAAATGTAGCTACATAACAAGCATTATACCTGGTATTTTAGAAACATGTTATTTAATCCTTTAGAAAATTCTACAAAGAAGAAATTATTACCCAGTTGTAAAGTGAGAAAGCAATCTCAAAGTCTGAATAAATTGTCCAAAGCAAAAACAAAAACAAATACTAAATAGCATTCATATTCTTTACAATACACTGGAATGCTTCTTATCACCACTCACATTCTAGATTTAGGACCAATAAGATCGGATGCTTGTAAAAGTATGCTACAATAATTAAACAAACCTTTTTTTTGGACATACATTTGAATCCTGAAAGCCTTTCAGAAATATCTCTGCTGCTAAAAGAGCAAACCAAAATAGGAAAGAATATCTCAATTTTTACTTAGAAATTCAATAGCTCATTTATTATTCTGATGATCTGTGTTATCTTCTAGAAATTCCATTTCTCTACATTTCTACGGTATGTATAAATGTATTTTTTAATAAAACAATGCCTTTCCTCCAAGCAAAAGTCATATATTCCCAAGAAAATTGGTATTTGGAGTTTTCTCATTAATTAAAACTTACTGGATTTACATTAACTTACATTTTTGGTTACAACTAGGTTTATTCTACATGTGCAACCTACAATAACATTTATTCTCTAACTATTTCAGATACATGTAAAATTGAATAGTTCAATTTAAAATTAAACATCAAATAGGAATACAAATTGTTAACATGTTAAAGCTTGTTGGAAGATTAAGTGTATTTCTGAAATGACACCAAGTGTACAAGAGAATGCCACATCATGGTGGTACTTCCTGCCAAGTAAGGCACACAGTTATCACTTGCTTTCTGTTGTTTAGTACAGTCAGGAAACAGAAAACCAAAAGGAAAAATTTCACAAACATTTTCCAAACTAAAATCTCTCTTTTGAAAGGAGTACCAGAGCAAAAAACTTAGCACTGCATAATTAGTCTCAGGTACTCTTCTGCTCTAAAATCTTTATTATATTCATGTCTGTGATATGAGAAAAGTTCTCAGTATCAATTAGGAAACTCCCAATAAAAAGTAGGCTCTAGATCCCAAGGCTTGTGAAACCTGAGTGTGTCAAGGGGACCAGCGTTTAAAGGCTTCCACAGGGGGAATGGACAGACATCACTTTTAAACAGATCAGATAACCATCTAATTGGAAACATGAGGAGTGCTGGCATCTCCTGGGCAGGGAAGGTAAACAAAACTTACTTAAGACCAAATTTTTATTTCTCTGTAAATTAAAACAATCATTCTGGTATCTTCTTTGTTAAAAGGGATAAAAAAACAACAACATTTATAAGAAATAAATGACTCCAAAATACATTCAATCATTTGGGCAATATTACACAACAAGTCTAAGGTATACCAGCAAGCAAATTCTTAAATTAGTGGATTGTTCGTTAGGAAACAGAGCATTACATTAACCTGATTATCTCAATATTTTATTTCTTTCCCAATCTTATATCATAAAGAATAATAATTACATAGTAATTTGAAAAGAAGATTCCATATGTCTAGGATTAGACATTACATTAAATTGCTTCAAATCTATTGTTGAATGAAGCAGGAAATTTTTTTCATAAAGGGTTAGATAGTAAATACTTTCGGTTTTGCAGGCCATCCATAAACCAGCAAGTGTGGGTGTGTTCTAATGAAACTTTATGTACTAAACAGGTATCATGACAGATTTGTCTTAGGCCACAGTTTGCCCAACTGAGGTAGGGCAATAAACAAATAACATTCAAGTAGCCAGAATCCACTAACTGAACAGCACTACCCAACACATACTGCCACTATATTACAGTGTCATCAAAGCAGTTCTAAATCAAATTTCTAAAAATTATAGGAGCTTTGAGGCAAGGACTATCCCTTATCTTGAATCTCTGGTATCTAGATTCCTACACATAACTGGTGCAGGAATATTAACTCTATCAACATAAAGTAGACTTAAAAAAAAAAAATCAAAATGCTTCACTTTTATTTAAGACTGCAGGGAGCATATTTGTTCTATTTACTAAAGTACATCTTATTGTAAGCCATCTAAATAATTTTTGTACATAGACTGGACATATTTATATAATTTTAACATCTATAAGTAACAATAGCTGAATGAATGTCTTTATGTAATGCACTATGCTTGATGCTCTACCTATATTACTTGGTAAATCCTTTAAAAGAAACTCTGAAAGACAATTAGTATATCCATGTTATAGATGAAGAAAGTAAAGGGAGATTAATATAACTAACTAGTCACAAGCTGGCATGGTGCACAGCAAGGATTTGACACAAAGTCAGTCGCTAAAGCCTGCTTTCTTTTCATTAAATCATGCTTTTATATACTTTTAAAAATATCTTTCAAACATTTGTAGTCATTAGGTAAGGTATTTAACTATTAACTGCTGATTTGCTTAAGAAAGCAAATAATTTCATTCAACACAACAATTCATAGTTTTCAACAAAGCAAATTGAAAATTTTTACTTATCAATGCTATGCTCTACATTAATGTGAGGGTAACAAAAGTGTAAATACTTAGCATACTAAATTTTAGCTGAGATTATAATAGTAACTACATAAAATAATATTCACATCAAATACTTAAATTTTAAATACCTTCAACACCAAAGTCAAAGAGGAAAAAGAGCCATCAGTTCTCCCTTAAATTTGGAATTTAGAAACTGGTGACTAGTTGGCTGAATACCAGTTTATATAATTAGTCATGTCCTTCAATTCATATAAATCTCAACTACTAAACCTAGCAAACAGCAGAACATCTAGCCATTAAACATTTTAAGAACTGGGGCTTTAATAAATGCAAGGTTGAAAGTCAAATGCCCTTCGAGGGGGTGCCAGATTCCCTTTTCATTTTCTCTATTCATGTCCATGGTTAGGAAGTCAAATAAGGAGGTTTACTACCTGCACAGAAGGGCACTTATTCCCATATGAGTTCCTACCTATCAAAACTATTCTGAGAATGGAAACTAGCCCAGAGCAGCAGCTCTGCTCTCAAAATACTTTGATGGGCAAATATAGAGCCAGAATTAGGGGTACTCCCACACAGATTCTCATTGTCTCTATTACTTTCTGCGATTCACCAAAAAAATCCAATTAGCAACACTATTTCTTGCACCTCTAAAGACCACTTTCCAAGTTCATTTCTGAGATTATTCAGTAATAGTTAACATTTATTGAGCACTTATTATGTGCAAGGCACTGTGCTAATTAAGAACCTACAGATGAACAATTTTATTTTACCTTCATAATAAGAATTTGAAGTACTTTGATTATTCTTTAAATCTGAGGTTCAGGGAAGTGGATAATGCAAAAGTTAGGGCTGAAACATGAGTCTGAATCTAGCAGTGGGACTCCAGAGTCTTGTTTTTAGCATTATACTATGCCCAGGACCAACATACAAAATAGGCACAGGGCCTAGTGCCCACAATAATTTTAGGGGTTCATGGAAATGTTTTAATATCTAATATTAACATACTCATCTTTATACCATTATAAAAGAAAAATTTAAATATCTCTTATGGGGAAGGAGCTCACAAAAGTCCTATGTGGCCTTGGCTATCCTACTCTCCAAAGGTAAACTGGCTTTTGTAACATTTCTCATTTCAAACATGTTTGCTTTCCTATCAGGGTCCTTTATTACCTTAAGTGTTTTTATATTTTCATTTGTTTTTTCAAACCATATAGGATTTCTGGGAAAACAAAAACAATTAACTACCCGATTGTTTAATTCATCAATGGGGGACAAAGTGTCATGCATGAATTCCTAGTTCCATCATATCTTCTGTCTAAGATTGGAAGAAGAAAGCCCTAGGATATACTAGTATAAGCAACCTTTTATGCACTTGTGCAAATAAATCATATTATCTAATGCAGAATTTTCCCACTGGTAGCCTCAATCACTAACAAGTTACAAGTGTTCTAAAATTCTTGAAAGCTATACATAGACATGTGGTTCTCATATGGTTAATTTTAGGTGTCAACTTGACTGGGCCATGAGGTGCTTAGAGGTTGATCAAACATTATTCTGGTTATGTCTGTGGAGGTGTTTCTAGATGAGATAAACACTGGAATTGGTAGATGGAATAAATAGTCTTTTCTAATATGAATGAGCCTCATCCAATCACTGAAGACAGCTCAAAGACTGTAGAGATTGGGACTTTTCAGTCTTTAAAAACACATGAGCCAACCCCCTGCCCCCAACTCTTCCCTCATCCATTCATTCATCCATCCATTCTCCTGGTTCTGTTTCTCTGGAGAGAGTTAACTAATATACTTTTATTTTATAAATAACTGGAGTATGAGCAGATTAAGTGTACTGAAAGTCTTCATTCAGTTTTTCAAAGTAGTGTGTAAGATCAATACAACTAGGGGTCCTAGACTCTGGTTCTTATGCCATTCAAATACGTATCTCCTTTAATGCATTTTGTATTTAAGGTAATTCCTGAAATTCCTTAAATATATTTCTAGATGGTTTTTTCTTTCTTTCTTAGGAAAGAAACAGTTTTAATATTGTTAACAGTTTTAATATTGATAGCATTAGGTCTTGCTCTTAAGTGGAAGTTTAGAAGAAACATAAAATCCACTGGGTAATATAATCTTCCATTTAAAAAGATACCTTATGCCTCAACATCATTAAATATTAAGTAAGATATCAAGTACACCTACAACTGTATACTTGTCAGTTTCCAATTTTAAACTATACAAAAGAGACTGGTTATAATATTCATGAGACTCTAAAAAGATGCTTTGCATAATTTTTGGATAAATCTAATAAAACATTTCTGTCTATTTTGGAATCAAAGCCCAGAAATTCAAATTTTTTTGAGGGAAAAATAACAAAAGGAATCACTGTCCAAATACTTCAGATTAGCAAAGAGCTATAAGACCAAAATCTTAATTTCTTGAGATATAATTGACATATAACATTATATTAATTTCAGGTGTACAACACATGAATAAACATATGTGTATACTACAAACTGACCACCACAATAAATCTAATTAACATCCATCACCACACAGTTACAAATTTTTCTTATGAGAATTTTTAAGATCTACTCTCTTAGCAACTTTCAAATATAAAATACAGTATTATGAATTATGATCATCATGCTGTACCTTTCATCCCCAGGACTTATTATTTTATAACTAAAAGTTTGTATCTTTTGACAACTTAATTTTCTTTATTTGTTGCTTACTTCTGTTTTCAGTTATAAACTGAAGTGTTCCCCAGATAAAGGAAAACTTTCACAAGCCTCAGTCAGATGATTAAACAAACAAAGGTGAAAATATAGGATTAGTTATACTCATTTTGAGAATGGTGATTTTCTGATGAACAAACCAATAACTTAATATGAAAATATCATAAGTCAAAGTATTAAAGATTCTCTTTTTTCCTTTTTGTGATATTCTTAATATTTAAAGCTCTCAAAATGAATCTTGATCTAAACTATTTTCCAAGTAGCATTATCAATTAGATACCTAATAAGAAAAAATGATTCACAGCTTCCTTTTCTACAGCCAATTAATATTTTTAAAAAATTACTAATTATCTAAACTATCAAATAACAGTAGAGTAATACTTTTCAAATTTTACAAAAGCTCAAAGTTAACTTGAGCAGTGCTTATGACATTATCTTCTTTACTATATTCTTAAGAAAAAGGTATCTTGGCTATCAGTCAAGGTTCCTTTCTGGAAAATTAACAGGTAAACAAACAAACCTGTTAAAACAATGTAAACAATGGTCTTTTGGAAAAAAGGACTGTTTTGAAAAAGGACTTTTGTTGTCATTTTGTTTTGTTTTAAATCTTAGCCCAAAAAGTGAAGAACAGTTTTGACCTCTTTCCAATTTATACAATAGAGATACCACTACCTGCTTTTCTCTGTTAATGAGAATGAAATATATTGAACTCTAAAAAAGAAAATTTCACTGTAGAGGAAGAATATTTATCAATACATGGTCATGTATGGCTTAAATCCCTTTTGAGGTTTGCTAGACCCACTTCTGAGAATTAGTTTATCTAAGAACATTTTACAATTTTGAAAAATTTCTTCTTGGTTGATTTCCCCCCTAAGTAACAAATTATTGCAATAAAGCCACAATAACTGATTTGTCTCTTGATCCAAGGAAGAGATATTTTATTAAAATGTTAAGAGCCCTGCTGGAGTAGCTCAGCAGATCCTGGAAAAGAAAGAAATTGCAGGCCACAGGCCTCCTTCATAACAGCAGGATAAGAATGAAAGTCATTTGCAATTACTCAGTCAGCAGGGCTTACTCCTTTTTCTACCTCAACTTTCTTCCAAAGTTCTCTTCCAGCCCTTTCCAGCAGTCTATTTCAACACCCACCGCCAAGTTCTGCTCCTTTTGTGTAACTCATTCAGCAAAAATAAAAGCCTAAGGACTGAGTCAAATAAATCTCAGGAAGTCTTAATGCATCTTGCCATATATACACAGTTTGTTATATTTTTTAAAAATCGAATCATATTAAAATTTTTGGTGTTTCAGAGTTTTCACTCATTTTAAAATTTACTGTCATTTTATCTGCACAAAAGTCCTTTGAAGTAGGTATTACAGATAACGGAGTTCAGAGGTAACTTGTCTTAAGCTTATAAGAGGCTGAGTCAAGATTCAATCTCAGATACATAAGATTCCATAAGGACCATATACTTTATTACCTCCTATATTCAGTTATCAAATTATACATAAATAACTTCGATCAACTTATATGATGCAAAAAATTCCTTTTTAAAGCGGTTATACTTTAAAAAAATTCATTATCTGATGATGTTAAATGTTCTAACGCCATAAATTAAAGATGATCCAATACCAGTGTCACCTTATACTCTAGTAAGATGAACCTAACTATGAAAAGGTTAGGTCAAAACCAACAGTCTTTGCTTTGCATTGTATAATTAATTCACTCATTCTTTACAATTGCAAGCTTCTGTCTCAATAATAAATTCCTCATCAGATATAAAACATTAGCCAAACTATGTTATAACTGAATTAGCAAATTTAGCTATTAAGACACTCAAAGTCAAATGAAAAGTGATTAGCTGTGCGTTTTGAGGGTTTCTGGGGTTGCAGTCTTTTCATCTGTCCTATGTGACTGCCAGGCTTTCTTCCAATGATGAGATTCCGCAGCTTGCTCATCTCCAACTGGTAATACCATAATTTTGACAATATCTTAAAGTATTAAAGATGTTAAAGCAATGATGTATAACCATTTCAATTAACATTCAGACTTTGGAATTACTTCCAATTAAAAATGGTTTGCTTAGCAAAAGATAACTAGAGAAGTAGAATTTATAGATTCTGATTTTATTCTCAGGATCTTTAAACTAAGCTTGAGGACCAAGTGTTACATATATCAATTGTCAGTATAAAGCAATTATTTTCAAGTGTTCTCTTCCACACCCCTGGGGCTGCAGAAAGGCAAAATGTAGCCCGAGGAACAACTCGGGTATCAAGCTGCACCTCTAGGGGCTACTTTAGATGAAAATAAACCTTAATGCATCTTCCCTAAAAGAGACTATACCAGAAGATGATAAAGAACAGGGGAATAAAAAATATTCTCCTTGATGTCCTTACTCAACGAGAGTGGCCAAAAATGTACATTTGCAAGAAATTATAAGCAAATAACACAGACATAAGTCAACCATGGTTGTCTCTTACTAGATCTAAACCTTGCTCTCTCACCTTTACCTCAGGTCTTTCAGTACCTGTTATTGGTAAATTACGAGGCCCAAATCTGTTCGTTTTTTTCAAATTCTTTTTCTATCTTTCAAGTCCCTATAGTCTTCAGCATAGGTTGAGATTTCAAATTCTGCTTGCTTTCTTCTGCTACAACACTATACTTCAATTTCCTAGGTCTTTCTTTGATAGACAAAATGAAAAGACATTGTTTTCTGAAACTTAAAGAAGTCTTCTAAATCTCAGTTTAACCTTCTTTCAAAACTAGAATAATTAGCTAATTGATGCATTTTTACATTTTTTATGAATGTAAAATGGTTTGCTTAGCAAAAGATAACTAGAAAAGTAGAATTTATAGATTCTGATTTTATTCTCAGGATCCTTAAACTAAGCTTGAAGACCGAGTGCTAATTTTGGTAATATCCATATTAATTTAAAAAAACAATATTTTAAAAAATATTAAAAAACTCCTTGGGACAATTTTTTTTTTTTTTACTAATCATTATTGTAAGACTGTCTATTTCAAGTTTACCAAAGGCTTTTAAAAAAATGTAAATGACTTACAAATCAGGCAAGCATTATGTCTCATAAAGACTCCTTAACAAGATATTCAACTTAAAGTTATTTTTTTAAAAGTTAAATTAAGAAGCCTCCATAGTTTATGTCATATAAAAATAGAGAAAATTAGTAAATACCTGAACTGAAGTGGCTGTTTCCTGTACATAGCCACCAGCAACTGCTCCTTTTGAAGTTGCTACAGGGACACTGTGCGTTTTGAGGGTTTCTGGGGTAGCAGTCTTTTCATCTGTCCTATGTGACTGCCAGGCTTCCTTCCGATGATGAGATTCCTCAGCTTGCTCATCTCCAAAAGCAGCCCAAGAGCAACTATCTTTCTGTCCATCCTCAAAAGCATTCCAATCTACAACTTGGCTAGGACCAGCTGAACTGAAGTCTGCAAACTCATCGGAGTCTTGAAAAGCATTGCAGTCATCTTGAATATCTGGCACAGAATCAACATCTCCAAACTCACCTTCTTGCCCAATTTTTAGTTTTGAAATTGATTCAGTTCCTGTAGACTTTCTTTCCAACTTACATTCCTCTGAAAAACTATCAGAATTTTGTTTTCGGTCTAACTCGGTAAATATAATTTCCTCTTGGCAAGAAACAGCATTTGTATCCCCAAATTCTCCAAAGTCATCACCTGGTTCACTAATATGTGGAAAGTGCTCTGAAGACTCTTCTAAAGTGACATCACTCATTGAATCTTGAGTACCAGTAACAAAAGGTGGAGTTGTGCCACTGGCTGTGCCAAAGTCACCAAAATCATCTTCATTAGTATCGTTGCAAGTCACAAAGTTGTTACTACTATCACCATTTTTTACACTTATAGGATTGTCCAAAACATTTTCTTCTGTAGGATCAATGCTGGGGCTTTGGTAATCAGTGAACTTTCTACTTTCTTCTTTGGAAGAACAAACTTCATCATCAGCATCAAAAGTTTTAACAGAATCCATGCATAGGCCAGTACATTTGGAAGTAAATAAATCAAGTTTTTCCTCAGTTTTACATCGTTCTCTCCTATTGGTTTCCAAATTATCAGCTGAGTCTACCAAAGTCCAAGCCTTTGTTTGTACATTGGAATTTAAAAATTCATCCTGTTGTAATGTTGGAAGGCCTTGTATTTTAGTACTGAGACCTCTGTTACTCTTCATGCTTGTTTCTGAAAGGCAAATCTGATCCTCTCCTTCAATGTGTCCTTTATCATCGAAGCTTCTACCCAAAGACACTTCTTTTACAGAATTTAGTTCATTTGCTCTATTAATTTTATTGTTTTCCTGAATTGTTAGTGCTTCTCTATCATTTAAAATTGCACATCCTATTTCTTCTAGTTGTGTCCTTTCCTTTTCGGGAAATGTGGCAAAATCCGCAAATTCCTCCGCAGGACTATGTGCACAGTCTAAATTATACTCAGTACCATGAGTGCTAAGAGGCTTTCTTCCTTTTGAATCCACTACAGTGTCCAGATCATCTGTTCCCTGAGGATTTACAGTTTCCAATACTGCAAACCCATTTGTTAGAATCTCCAGACAAGGAGGCTTTTCACCATTGCAGCTCTCTAAATGCTTGTTTTGATGAACAACATTCATATCAGTTCTAAAATCTCTTGGAGAGAAACTTTCATGTGTTCCAACATTCTGCCTCTGCTCCATTATTTTATTTAAATCTCCTGGACTTCCTATGCCATCAATGGAAGTATCTAAAGTTTCAGATGGAATTACTTCTTTGCTGGTGGTAGAGAGCAAAACATTAGACTGTCCTTTCACAGGAGAAGAAGGCTCAGTAGTGATATCCTTATCATTACCATTTTTAATGGACTTAAAGCTTGTAAGGCTTTCTACATTTTCTGAGAAATCATGAATTGGCATAAAATGGTTTGAAGGTACAAACTCTTCCTTGGGATGAGTACAATCTGGTGTTTCAAATTCAACAAACCCTACACTGGAAGGGCTAACTTCTGAAAACCCTCCAAATTCCCCAAATTCATCCTCATCCTCATCCTCGGCTCCATTGTCCAGTGGTGGTGGGGATGAAGAGTACATTTGAATGACGTCTGGCTCCATTGTTCACTTGTTTTCAAATACTTAATTTATAACTAGGAAGAAAAAAAGATATTTTTTGAGGATAAGATCTTTCAAAATTCTCTAAGCTTCTTAACAATGCAAATTTACAGTGCTCTGTTTTGTATATTTTAAATTACTTTCCTCTTAGGTGAGATGACTCTTCACCGCTATAATAATATGCCAACATTTTTCCTCTCTTCTAGTATATGTTTCTAAAGGCATTGGTGGTACATTACTAAATTTGGGGATTCCACAAATTTCGAATAAATACAAAAGTATATCTAAAGAATTCTCTTTTAGGGCACCTGCTTGTTCTCTTAAACCCTCTTTCCAGTTTACTCAGGACTTACTTCTGAGTTTGTATGAGCTCTTTATAAATAAAATATATGAACATTTTAACTCTAATATTTATTACAAATATTTTCCTCACTTTGCTTTTCAATTTTTTAACCAAGTTGATTCTTTTGTTTTAATATACTTTATTTTTTTTTTTAGAGTAGTTTTAGGTTCATAGCAAAAGCACAGAAGATAGAAAGATGTTCCATATATCTCCCTGCCCCCATTCATTCGTAGCCTCTATTAAGAACATCTTCAGTGATATATTTGTTACAACTGATGAGCCTACAGTATATCAACATATCATTAATACTTAAAGTCCAGAGTTTATATTAGGGTTCACTCTTGGTGTTATACATTCCTTGGGTTTAGACAAATGTATAAAGACATGTGTCCACCATTATAGTATGATACAGAGTAATTTCATTGCCCTAAAAAATCCTGTGCTCCACTTGTTTATCCTTCCTGCTCCCCTGTCTCTCCTAGAAATCACTGATCTTTTTGCTACCTCTATAGTTTTCCTTTTTCCAAGATGTTATATACTTGGGGTCATGTATATATGTAGTCTGTACATAATGTATAACTGGCTTCTTTCACTTAGTAATATGCATCTAAGGTTCCTCCATGTTTTTTCATGGCTTGATAGTTCATTTCGTTTTAGCAAAGAATAATATTCCAGTGCCTAAATGTACCACAATTTAATTTTTTATAATTTTCAATTCTGAAATCACTTAGGATACACAAGAATACAGTTATTGTGTATATTCCACTCAGTTTCCCCCTAATAATATGGTAATTAATGATAGTACTTGATTAAACCACCTTGTTTAGTTTTTTTCCCCCCGTGTGTGTGTGTGTGTGTGTGTGTGTGTGTGTGTGTGGTTCTAGGATATTTATCACACATATAGATTAGATTTGAGTACTAATCATCACTACAATTTGGATAAGAATTGTTGTAAAAATAGTTTAATATTTATCATATAGTTCATTCCTTTTTATTGCTAAGTAGTATTCTATTATATAGATATACCACAGTTTGTTTCTCCATTCACTCCACGTAGGACATTTTAGTTGTTTCCTGTATTTTACAATTACAAATAAAGCTGCTATAAACAGATTGTTCGGAGAATATGTTTTCATTTTTCTAACTTAAGTACCCAGGAATGTGAATGCTGGGATACAATGTTTAACTCTAAGAAAATGCAACCTGGCTGGTTTGGCTCAGTGGTTGACATTGATCTATGAACCAGTTGATCACGATTCGATTCCCAATGGGGGCTGTGCAGGAGGCAGCTGATAAATGATTCTTTCTAACTGATGTTTCTTTCTCTCAGACCCTCTCCCTTCCTCTCTGAAATCAATTAAAAATAAACTGCCAAACTGCTTTCCCAAATTATTTTTTAAGGAGTCAAACCAATTGATTTTCTCATTAATAATTTTCTTCATTATTTTATTATTATATAAGTTTAAGATTTAGTAAATAGTGTCACTTTTATTTTCTTCTGCTTTTGGAGTGTATTTTTAACATTTAATTTTTAATCCGTCTAGAACTTATTTTAGTGTATGATCTAAAGCAAATCTAAGTAAAATCTTTCCTAAACAGCCAAGCAATTATCATAATCCCATTTATTTAATAATCCTTCCCATATCCTTTAGTTTATTGTGTCCCTTTTTTTTAAAAAAATACATTTACTTCTTAAATTTATATCTAGTTTATTCTGTTCCTCTGTACTAAACAGTCAAAAGTGCCACAAGACAGGCTAATATTAAAAGCAAAGGGAGGATTAACAACCAAAGTCCTACAATAAAATTAGCCCATAAATAATGAATTGGTATTTCCTGTAATTCACAGTTGCCAGTATGGTACACGAGGTATATGTTCATTACAAAATTCAATCAGTATTGCAGCTTAAAAAGAATCACTTTTTTTTTTTCAACTCTCAGAATAAAATTTTATATGATCTTCCAGTTTTAGGGAGAAGATACCTTAGAAATATTGATTTAAATTAGAGATGAGCCGAGACCGGTTTGGCTCAATGGATAGAGCGTCGGCTTGGGGACTGAAGGGACCCGGGTTCGATTCCGGTCAAGGGCATGTACCTTAGTTGCGGGCATATCCCCAGTAGGGGGTGTGCAAGAGGCAGCTGATTGATGACTCTCATTGATGTTTCTTTTCTTTTTTTTTTTTTTTTTTTAAATATATTTTATTGATTTTGTACAGAGAGGAAGTGAGAGAGATACAGAGAGTTAGAAACATCGATGAGAGAGTCATCGATCAGCTGCCTCTTGCACACCCCCTACTGGGGATATGCCAGCAACCAAGGTACATGCCCTTGACCGGAATCGAACCCGGGACCCTTCAGTCCCCAAGCCGACGCTCTATCCACTGAGCCAAACCGGTCCCGGCTCATTGATGTTTCTAACTCTCTATCTCTCTCACTTCCTCTCTGTACAAAGTCAATAAAATATTTAAAAAAAAAGAAAAGAAAATAAATTAGAGATGAAAAGAATGGGGCTAAGTGATGATCAACTGCTCCAAAGGTCATACAGGTGGTTAGCAGAGAATGGTTTCAGATCTTTGAGATCAATGACTGATCAGTCACTGAGAGTTACTTGAAAGAAATGAACAAGTCATGAGAAAAGTAAAAGGCCCCATTGTAATATACCTACTTTAAATTGTCATTATGAAATTGTTAGCATCACAAAGAATAATTGTTTTAATTCTGAGAAACCTTTCTTGTGCTGATTTAAAGAGAAAAGGGGAAAAAAACAGAAGATATGAGTATCCCTCAAAAATGTATACTCATACTTTGAATAATTTTAAAGATAGTGCTTATTAAAATAAATTTCATTTTCAAAAGTGAGCTATTGCTGTTAAAGTATGGATACATTTTTTTCTGGGACACCCTGTATAAAGAAAGCCCTGTTTTTTCCCCTCTTGTTTAGAGTCCTGTTATCTCCTTCCAATGTTTAGTGTACAGGGTAATTTGACTTCTAATAGTTTCACTATAATTATGAAGTTCCTATTATTTAAAAATAGTCTGATTGTTAATGAGAGTGTGGAGAAATGGACACCTGGCACATATATACTGCTGGTGGGTGTGCAAATTGTTATAAAGCTTGCAGAAAGCAATCTGGCTATACTATACAAATTCTAAAAAAAAAAAAAAAAAAAAAGTAAAACAAAATGCTCCAAAGAGGTTATTTATATAAATTATGTTATATTCTTACAATAGCATTCCATGGCTCCTTCCCCAGGCCACTGGCCCAGATTGGCCCATCCAATACCATTCGGGGTCAGGACCAGCTGAACCACCACCCATATCCCCTCCCCACAGCAGGCCTCACCCCTGATCAGCCCCCACCACTCAGATTGGTCTGCAGTCCCTTCCCCTAGCCAGCTCTGCTCCCAATGCCCCCCCCCCCAACACCAATTGGGGTTAGGGCTGGCTAGCTAACCTCCCAGGACCCCTCTGCCAGCTGCTGAACCTCGATCAGCCCTCCCACCCCAATTGGGGGTGGGGCATGCTGGCCAATCGCCCATGGCCCCTCCCCCCAGCTGGCCCAGTCCTGATTGGGCCCTGTTTGGGGCGGACCAGCCAGCCAACCTCCTGCCATCTCCTTCTCTTGTGATGGGGTTGGGCCGGCTGGATCCCACCCACCCACAAATTCGTGCACTGGGCCTCTAGTCTATATAGTAAAAGCCTAAGCAAACATTACGGCAGAACGACCAGAATGAATGGTCACTATGATGTGTACTGACCATCAGGGGGCAGACACTCAATGTAGGAGCTGTCCCTTGGTGGTCAGTGCACTCCCACGGGGGGAGCACTGCTCGGCCAGAAGCTGGGCTCACAGCTGGCGAGCACTGCACGAGTCTCTCCTGCCCCATGGCAGTGCTAAGGAGCAGTGAGCCGGCGGGTGGTAAGGAGTGAGGGGTCCCGGACTGAGAGAGGGCACAGGCCGTGCTGAGGGATCCTCCTCCTGCCCCACCAGTGCATGGGTTTTGTGTACTGGGCCTCTAGTATATAATAAAGATGTTAAGAGCATTTATATATAGGCTTTTATGTGAACATAGTCCTCATTTTTTTTTTCTGGGATAAAAGCCCAAGAGTATAATTTCTGGGCCTTATGGTAGGTGTATGTTTAGTTTTGTAAAAAAATTTTTAAAAAACCTCAAAACCAACAACTGCTAAACTATTTTCCAGAATGCTATGCCATTTACATTCCCATAACACTTTATTCTTGAAGAAACATCTGATCTTTGTTTTAGTAAAACCTGGTTGTGGTTAACTGCTTTTTCTAAAATGTTTTGTTGTTTAAAAAATGAAATATTTTATTGGTTTAAGGCCTATTTCAAACTCAGATATTAAGGCAAATACAAGGATCTGTATCAAGGATTTTGTAACCACACCAAGAACACAGAGAGCAGTTTTTCTTCCTGTCACACCTTGGCAATGTGCGCTCCCTTTTTCTCCTTCTAGGTGTAATGGGCTGTATCAGACTCCCAGACTATGATCACTTCCTTATTCCTCAAATCTGTGTCACCTATTGAGCGAAGAACTTGGGTGCACATTCTCCTTTAGCAGGTCGGGGCTCTGGCCCAACTCACCCTTCAGAAACCTATGAGTGCCACTCCCAAGTTTCAGCCAAGAATGCCAATC